CTTTGGGGACATCTTCACAAACAGTCCACGGTTGGGCCACACACAGAGACCCAGATCCAATTCATTATAATATTAGCTTTGGAGATGCATCGCTCTAGGTATCGAGTGTCAAGAGGCCGCGCTCTGTAAAGAGTTTCAGGCGTGACTCTGTTGTCACGTGTTCAGACATGAATCATACAAAGAAATTAATGAAAACCTAAAAACGAACTTTGGCTTTGTCTTGTTGTCGTAAAACATTTGCTGAAGTTGATGGCTTCTGTTTTCAGTCGCGTTTGTCCGTAAAAGTTTTTAGGTTCTAAAAAGCAGTGAAGCTAAATGATGAGCGTTTTGTAGTGAAGTGACCCAGCAGCAGAAGAAAAGCATTAAAACACGTGAGACAGACACCGAACTCACTGACGATCAATCAGGACGGTAAAGCTCACATGTGACGCTGCGTCAGGCCACTGAAACTAAAAGTCACATGACGAGTACAATATGATCAAAATAATAAAAATAAAATCCAAAAACCAAAATCTCCTGAAGAAAACAAACTGATGATGAAGAAGAAACAAGAGTCAGGTGAAACCGATGAGGCGGAGCAGCTGATCAACAAGGGAGGGAAACCAAACAAAGACAGGAAGTTCAGCAAACAGGACAGAAAATAATTGGGAGGAATAAAGACAAGACTTTGGAAGGTGTGTGTTTGAATGACTGGATGAGAGGCTCAGACACAGAGGGTTCATTTCGTTTAGCTCCAGTGTAGCTTGAGTCTGACCAGCAGCTGTAACGAGCGATGACGCACAGAGAGAAAAGAGTTTGGTGTCTCTCCTGAAATGTTTGAAACGATTATCGTGAAGAAAACAGTTTTCTGTCCAACAAATGATTGATGAACTAATTGTCGAAGAAGCTGCAGACGGCACGATGCCTCCATCGTATCCACTCCCACAGATTCTTCTCTGAGCAACGGGACTTCATATTCAGTCTGTTTACCATTTAGATAGAACTGAACTACAACAGCCTCATCACATCTCATTAGGTCATCGATCCCTCAAAGAAAGGACTGATGTCAGGCGTACGTTTTCTCTCTGGACAACCGAACAAACAGCCGAACAGAAAACCAGAGGGGTCACCGATACAACTGTCAGGCTGCCTCCCACCACCTCTCCCTCCCTTTCACTTAATACCCAGATACATTTTGATGCTGCGCCAGTAAGTGGGACCTCTTTGGGGAGACAAAGAGTGACCTCAATTCAATTTGACATCCCACCTATCGATCTGGGGGACGCTGTATCCCCCAGAGACGGACGTCCCGCTCGCCCTTGTCCTGCCAACACTCACATTTAGCGACAAGATAAAACATGTCTTTTTAATAAACAAAATCCCTCCGCATATCTCGCCTCATCCACAGCCCAGACTGAATTACACACGGTGACCTGCTTTCGCGAGGCTCCGTCCTCCCACGTAGAGCGCTGTTCATCTTCCGCGGGACCCTTTTGCTAAATTGAAAGTGTGTCATAACAAATAGAGGAGGTGTCTGGCTTAAATGTATGTGACTGGCACAGATGTCATCTCTGTCAGAGGAGCATCCCTTGTATTTTTTAACAGGGGGGACCGTGACGTGGACCCGGGACAATTACTGTCAGAGCACGCGGGGTGATGAATCTGCTGCCTTATTGTGTTTGTCATCTCGACCTCTGGCTGGGACCTGATTGGTTTGGCCACCAACCTACAGATGAATCAGATAGATGCTTTGTTTCTGGTTTACATGTGTGTGTGTGTGTGTGTGTCACAGAGCCACACTGCAGATTAACTGACTCTCCTTTGGTTTCAAGTGACGAACTCTTGTCCTGGGATAAAATAACTGATGTAAAAAACCAATGTGATGAATATACTAACAAAATGCTCTTTCACATGTTGGCCATATACGTTTAAAGTATTTTAAATAAGCACATGTTGCACAGAATCTGTTAAACGCCACCGTATAGCTCTACAATGCAGCCCGACGTGTATTTCTAATATTCAAAGTAATTTACACACAGAGAAATAAGCTGTAATTGCTGCACCTGGAGCTGAGGGTTGTGGTATGGCTCTGATTTGTATCTCGCAGCCGCGCATTCTGCTTTTTATGGTTTATGCTGAGCCCAGTGTTTGCCATAAATGGCAGGTGTGCAAAATTGAAGTGCAAAAGTAATTCAGCTCCTGCCATTCAAAGGAGCTGTGTCAGTTTGATTTACCTGTACATATAAACACACACACACACACACACACACACACACCTTTGGGCCACATGTGTTTTTTATATTCATATGGTGAAGGAAAAGAAAAAAAATGTGCGCCTCCAAAATGGGGGTTGAGGGGTCATGGTGTTTGGCCAGGAGTGACAGCTCTGAAATGAAGGCATAAGTCAATCGGCTACTCTTCATATACGCACACACACGTGCATGTGCAAACACACACGCACACACACACACACACACACAGACACACACATGCATAATCGGGTCGGAGCGGGAGGCGAGATGGCGGTGGGCGGTTAGGTTAGGTGGGGACTGAGGGAGTGGGGGAGGTGGTGGGAGGAAGGGGGGTGTAAAGGGCACAAGGTCAGCATGTGGGAGGAGTGTGGGTCCATGTGTGTGTTTGTGTGTGTTTGTGCGTGTGAGGGGTGAGAGAGACGGAACTTGACGACATGTTTCTGATCGTAAATGCACGAATCTGGACTCTGGGTCTTTTTCTGTCTTTCTTTTGTTGTGTCTCTGCTTCGGCCTCTGGTCGAACGTTAACACGGAAACACAGAAACACAGAAACACAGAGAGCTACCAGGGCTGTATTTACTCACACACACACACACACACACACACACACACACACACTTACTGACACACCTTGAACCCAAAGGTCAAAGACCATGTGTGTTCTTTCTCTCTCTCCTTCTGTTTTACACACAACCCACACACACACACACACACACACTGGGGTCAGGATGTGTGTTTACTCTCTGTCACACAACGAGCAGGCCTGTATCAACATTTGGGCTTCATCCCAGCATGAGCGTGGGGAAACCCCCATTTGGATTTAAAAACATGGATCGATCCGCAGCTTTGATCGCTGCCTCTTTGACTCGTTCAATCAAAAGAATCAAAGAGAGCAGCAGAACGACTCGTCCTGAATTAAATGAGACGGACGTGTGTTTAATTTGTGTCAGTTGTGTAGTTGAAGTTTTCAAAAAGGGATACGTGCTGTGTGATGCTGCACAGATTGGGCTGCGTGTACTTATAGATGGATCTATAGATGGACGAGCGGCGTGTCGTCAATTCGTTTGTTATTTTTGCTTCTTTGAATAAAACGCATAGAAAAAAAAAAGTGTCTCCGTCAGAATGGAGAGAATGAATGAACGGATTCACTTTGTTCATTGTTATATCATTGTGCATACATCATATCATTGGAGGTGAAGACACCGACAAAAGTCTGAACTATCCCAAAACCAAACCGCGTCTTCTGGTCGATTATTTTGGTCCAAGATCAAACTGAAAAGTCGAACAAGGTCGAAGACTCGATGGGTTTTTGTTTCCTTAGCATGAAGCGTTAATATCTTCACCAGCAGCAGGTTCTCTTCACCACCACGTTTCCTCAGTGGCCCAGAACAAACACTGGTTGTCATCCGCTCTAACAGCTGGTGCCCCGTCAGGACAACTCATCATTCTCAAACTCCACGGAATTTGAAAATATCAGTTCTTCAATGAGAAGTCGAGGCTACAAACTGAAGTGCACTAAAAGCTTCAGGGGAAGGAATTAACATCCAAGGTGCAATTCGGACGGACGATACGTTCAAGATTAAAACACTTTGAATAAACAAGTGAGCAGCGTTCTATCACAGCAGCGACCGATGAAACCTCATTAACTCTTTATCCAGAACAATGACAGCAGAGGTTCACGTCCACGGATTCACGTCACAACAGCCTCAGCGGAGATTCAGATTAATCCGACCGGACTATTTTCTTAAAGATCACCAGTCGTGGTGCAGCTCGTCTCCACTGCGGCCTCAGATTTGTGTTCTCGGCGAGTTGAACCCGACAAGGTCCTCTGCTGTTCTAGTCTGTCCACCTCAAGGTTGGACGTGTTGTGCATTCTGAGACGCTCTGCTGCTCGCTCACCGCACTCGTAAAGAGCGGTTATCTGAGCTACCGCAGCCTGTCGGTCAGCTGCTGCTCACTGGACGGTAATTCAAAACACTCAAACGAGCCGCGACTGACACCAACAGTCATGACGTCAAAGTCACCGAGTTCACACTCTCTGCAAACTCTGGTGTTTCATGTGGAACTTTACCTGAAGTTCTGACAGACGAGGTTTCCCACAGTGCTCCACTGGGACACTGGACGGAGACGGACTTTCTATCTCCAGCAGAACTTCTCTGTTTCTCACCTTCAACAACCACTTCCTGGTTTGACTGCAGATCACATGTCTGAATTAACCAATCAGAGGCTGTGATGACTCGAGGTAAAGTTGTGTGAGAACCACAGAGGCGGAGTCCAGATTTTAAAGATGCTGATATATAAAACACATGAAATAATGATAAACAGTTAACATTGTAAATGTACTTTTTAAATAAATGAATTCAAATATATGACTTGACTCCTGAACTTTGATGATAATCATGGGTGATACTGTGAATGTAAACCAGCGGAGTTGTTTTATTATCTATTTTATTAAATAGAAATTAGAAACACAGAATGAAAAACACTTGAGTGTGTTCACATCAGAAGCTGCTATTTAGAGCTGATTGTAAAACTTTATTTGTGATGACGTCAGAAACTCAGAGTAGTTTTTCCGGCTTAAGATTTCCAGAGTCAGGAATTCATTTTATTCAATTATTCTTTTGAAAAAACATCACGGACGCACAATATCTCTGTTGACAGTGGGTCAAAATTACCCAAAGCATTTGATGTTGTGCAAAACCCGTTAAAGACATTTGTAATAGTTTGATTTACTTTGTGCTCGGACGGTAAAAGAGAAAACAGAAAACGTCCTGTGAACAACAGAATTTTATTTCAGTTAATGGAAATTCCATATTTTCAAACAAAAGTCGAGGGGATAAGAACAAACTCATAGAAACTTTCTGTGAATTCCTTTATCGACAGACACATTTCTAAGGTCCCAGATGACTTGACATCGATAGCACAGTGCCATGTTGGAAATGTGATACAGGTTGGAAAAAAAAAACAAAAAAACAAACATCTTCAAATATTCCTAAACTAGGTCACAGTCATGAGTCCAACTGGGATATTATTGTAACGTAGACTGAGGTTTTCAGAGGTTAGTGATACATTTCTCTACGGTATCGGTACGATAAGCTCAGATGAGTCCAGGAGGATTTTCCCTACATGACAAAATCATCAGGAAGTGGAAAAGAACTTTGCGTGAGGTCTAAAAACAAAAATGAAAGTGCTGATGATGTTAAATAAGAAACGTCTTTTAAGTTGATGCACTAAAATAAATCTCTTGCATCACATTTCGGTGACATTATTATTATTAATATTATCATTATGTGCACGTTATCCATTTTTACATCACATGAGTTCAGTTCCTCTCCTGACAGGACATAATACCTGTTATAACAGGTAACGAGAGATTATGGCACAGTCATAAGATACAGTAAATGCTCAGTGACAAAATGTTTGTTCTAAGGCAAGTACAGCTAATTTTGTAAAAATATCCCCCCTCCCCCAATCCGAAAAAAAAAAAAAGGTCCAATATTGACAATCGTGACTAAATTGAAAAGAAGGATGAAGATGAGCTGTGTCGCCCCCGGCGCTAACATGGTGTGAGGAGTTTACAGACTGAGCATCGTGAGCGAGTGAAATCATAGACTGATCAAGTTACACAAAGGGGGAAACTACCAGTGCTGTGATTTAGCAGGAGTGAGCGAGAGTGTGGGTTCTGATTACAATGCAAGTGCCTCAGCTTTTTATTTGTATTTATTTTATTACAAACTCCTCTGCCCCCCTGAGACCCCCTCCCCCTCCCCCTCCCCTCCCAGAAACAAGCATATAGTCAAATTAAAGACAAACCAAACATTACATTTTCATCACCAACACTACCGCAAAAAGAATCCAAAACAAAATGTGTTTCCCAGCTTTGGCACAGGCTGCTGATTAGTGTGAATTTTTGCAGTGTTTTTGTATTTTCCCGTACTGATATTGGCGTGTTCGTCCGTCCATACCCACCCTTTGAACCTGAGCTTTTCCCATTGAAGCCTAATATGCTATAGATGCCTATGAATCAACGGTAAACTGTACATATGGACACAATCATGAGTTTTCTCTCCCATATAAACAGTGCTGATACAAACACACAATTAAAACATGTCCTCTGCAAAAGTCCAAGACATTTTGGCATTTGTCTTATTTATTTATTTATTTTTTTAATGGCTTCTGGTTTTCTTTTTAAAAATTGGTAACTATGCAGCGGGGGCCCTGTGCTCTCGGTTGTAGAGTCCCATTGGCAAAGCCCTCGCTCGGTATTCGCCGCACTGCGATGCTCGTTTACGGCCTCTGTGGTGGAAGGCGTAGCACCGACAGCAGAGCAAAAGTCTTTCGCTGCCTCTGTTTTGCTTGGGGTTTGTAACATGACATCTGAAGCGAGTCCAACAGACCTGCTGGTGAACTGTGCAATATAACCCGTTCTACCAACCAGTCCATCTCGTGCCACATCTCAAATGAAGATTACGTCGCCGGTTGAGGGAACTGCAGCGGCCCGGCAGGTTCCTGCGGCGGCCGAGGTGAATGATTGGCTGGCTCTGTGTGACCTGGACGGTAACGGACTGTACCGTCGGAGCGGATGTTTTGAGTGGAATGGCGAGGAAAGGCGCATCCTCTGGGAGAGCTGAGAAACTGATCGCAGAGAATGAAGAGAAGTAAAGATGGATGGATGGAGTAGCAGAGCCTGAAATTTCTCCTGCAGCTTCTCCTCGGTCGCTCGCTCGCTCGCTCCACCTCAAGGCCCGTTCTCGTTATAGTGGAGGGAGATGGGCCGCTCGCGCTGCACGGTGGGCATGTAGGGCCAGTTGTAGCTGGAGCCCGAGAGCAGCATGTCGCGGAGCAGAGTCTCGATGGGCGTCTTGCCGACCAGGCGCACGAAGAACAGCTGCTCGATGACCGGAGAGGAGACGATGCGCAGGGAGGGCAGGCGCAGGAGGAGGCGGCCGAAGCGGTTGGGCTGGCTGGGGTACTGGTTCCTTACGTACTCCTCCAGGGCGCACTGAGACTTCTCCTGGATGCTCTCCACATGGGCGACATCTGACAGACCCATAGCATCTGGAGGAGAGGAAGATATTTAAGGTTTATTATTAGAGCATCAGACAAGAAGCGACCAGTCTCTTCACAAAACTGATGGAGTTGAAAAGCTGTTTATTCATTTCAAGAAGGTCACTGTGTCACAGATCCCACACAATCATAGAAACTGGTCCTGTGACTGTGCAAAGGTGAGAAGAGGCCAGACACAGATCTGCAGAATGGGCGAATAAAAGGTCACTGAGTTCTGTCAAACTTTAAGAGGAAAATTGAAGAATTGAGAATTTTTGTTTGTGAATAAACAACTTTTCAAACGTTCCATCGAGGTCTTGTGAAGCGTCCTGGATGCAGAATGACTCGTCTTTGTAAATGACAAAACAAGACGCCGATGTCCCACGGCTCTTGCAGCGGGACGTTATCAGTCAAGTATCACGTTGTCTGATCAGGATAAAGAATCATTTTAAATCAATCTGATAACCCAGGATTTGATTTTTATCCATCGACTGATCATAAAGGATTTTGCCCTCCACGTGTGGCCGCGACACAATGTGAAATCTTGACCTGATATTAAATCTAATTTGCGAAATTAAATTACGACATAGAAGAGAAATAAAAGGCAATAAGGAGCTGACTTCCTCAGGTGAGGAAAAAACCGGTGCTGCGGCTTGAGGAGATCGAGGTTGTCACTGCAGAGACACGGATCTACTACACCCCTGTGGTCTGCGTCCACCGCACACTAACGCACCCCCCCTCTCCCCTCGGCTGGAGGTCATGTTCTGCCTTCACCCTCCTCACGCCTCCCTCACCTCCTGCCTTGGCAAGAGTCTCGCACAAATGAGAGAGTGTGTAACACTGGGCGCGATACTTTTCACACCCTGTGTGTGTCTGTGTGTGTGTGCTGGAGGGGGGGGCTGCACAGGGGATTTAACAAAGGAGGTCAGAGACGTGTGAACTCAAAACAAACACACATTTTTACTGTACTCCGCCACATACTGTACGTGCACTGCTCTTTGTCTCTGGCCCCTCGGTGAACCCTCGTTTGGACGACAGGTTTTTTCGATGAGGGCAATTTCTTCTGCAGCTCATTCTTTCAGTGTAAAAAGGCCTCGGCCCGTGGGTTTGAGCCTGTCATCTCTCATCGTACTTCCCCTTTGTCATCTCACACTTTGATCTGTCCCCTGTGTAAACCCTGCCCTGCTGGGTTTCCGACAACCAAAAAAGAAATTTAATTTACCTTACATCTTAATCAAGCGTGTCAACCCCTCCTCACCCCAGCGGCCACCGTTCTCGTCATTCTGGCTGAATAATTGCTCCCTCCACTTGGGAGGCAGTTGAACGTTTTTTTTTTTTTAATTTTTCCATTTTGTTTCTGTCGGGCCGCTATTTTGGGTCCTGCGTGACAAGGTGGTCACTGTCTGCTTGGGATTAGCGAAGCTGTCTGTGTGAGTGAAACCACTTTGCGTGCCAAGGCAGCAGCTCTGTGGGCGCCCCCTTCCACGCCGAGCGCCGTGTTCTTTTGTCTGATCCTTGGGCACACACCGGGTCAGTGGGGGTGAGAGATCAGGGTGGCAGGCCTGAGATGCCCGTTCACTGATGTGGCTTGATGGGACTGGGCTTCGCAGGGGGGAGTGGAGGGAGGTGAGAGACGATTGGTGTTTGTCCGAGCTTGTTAGCTCGTCCCACCAGGTCTGTCGTGGTCAGGTTTATTAATGGGCCCGTCTAGCTGTGTGTGCGTGTGTGCATGTCGGCCTCTGTCACATTCAGATTTCTGTTGATTTTTGCACGTTTCACTAAATACATTGTCTTCTGGAGTCTCTTGGCAAGATGTGCAGCTTTTTTTTTGGGCGATGAGCGTACATGTGGGTACATCTGCTCATAACAAGGAAGTCACATGGGATGCTCAGGGCTACAGGGGTTATGTAGGTCACGGCTGAGGCTGTGGCGGTTCCTCCATCTCACCCACCATATATAATTCAACTCCCATGGTGGGGTTGGGGGTGGGGGTCCCGGGCTGGGGCTGGGCTTGGGGGAGCTTAGAGAGGAGGGGTGGTTGACTGGTTTTAATAATAGATGGGATCATGAAGGAGGGAACGGCTGATGGAAGCAGGGAAAGAGAAAGGGAGAGGTGGATCTGCAGCCGGCCACATGCGTGGAGGAAAAGACACTGGACATGTACACAGAGTGGATCTGACAAGCCATGCAAGGGAGAAAAGAGGGAACATGCGACAAAAAGAACGGACAAAGCACATCTCAGTGTCGGCTTCTTCGCCATCCGTTTCCCCCTGGGTCACAAAGCATGATCTCTCAGTGAAGGGTCCCAGATGTGACAGTATTTTGGCTGGCACTGGAGCCCAGTGACTGTTGGGATAAGCCTCAACAGGGTTTGTGTGTAAGCAGAATCAAAACAATGTCCGACTCATGCGTTTCCTGAAGATGTAAAACCATTATATTTGGATTTCACCTCGTCTGCGGCTCAGTGGGATGACAGAGTGTAACTCGGTGAGGGTGTCGGGCTCGAGAGCTTTGAAGACAATCAGACAAATGTTTTTCTGTCTTTGTTATCAGGTCCTAATAGAACTGAGATAGACAGAGACAGATAGAAGTCCTAATAAAGGGAAGGACCATGTCTGCAGCAGTTTGCCTTTAAATGAAAAGAATGCCTGTTTGTCCACCTCTCTAATTCTAGTTAAGCTGTTTACGTGTGCTTTGATACCCTGTGCATGAATTCTCCTGTGCGAGCTGAAGTCGGCTCAGCTGCCTGCTAATTCCTTCCTTTCTACCTGAGCAATAGTAAATATACTCACAGGAGAAAGGGGATGTCTTTGTTGACATCAGAAGTTACCCATAATCCCCTGTGAGTCAGGATTTGTGTGAGGGGAGTGAAAGAAATACGACTGAAAGGACCGACATGTTTCTTCCGCGCACGTGCTTCATTCAAACTCACCGGACGTGAAGAGCACGATGGACTTGAGGCAGGAGTATTCAGCCGTGTCCACCTGCAGGGCCTTCAGCTTCTCCACCTGCTCCTGGAAGACGCGGATGTGGTCCATGAAGGCCACCACGCGCTCCGCGGACATGGGCGAGGCGTGCAGGCCGGCCGCTGCCAGCAGAGGGGCCACATGGAGCGGCATGGAGCACTGGGCGGCATTGAGGACAAAGAGCTCGCTCCATGACATACGCAGCAGCGCCACCTAGAATACAGACGATACAGAGACGTTATTGCAGGAAGGGAATTATTGAAAGTGAGCAGGGTATCTCGAAAACACATTCACATCTATTCATGCGGTCAACATCCAATTTTTTTGTCTTCTTTGAGATAAGTCGAAACTTTGGTCCACAGAAAGTTTTATAAACCTTCAGATTACAGGTTTGAAAACACTAAATTATTATTCAATTTAAAGTCACAATTCAAATTATGCGATTTTATATCAGGTTGACAATAATTACAAAAAACTGCGGCAGATTAAGAGAGCACTGAACCGATGGCAAAACACTGACACTTGTACTGAGACAGAAAGAGCAGATATATTCAACGTGTTGACATGACCTTAATGATATATTAATGATACGGTGCAACTATAGCACGACATACTGTGGTGCCCATGTCTGCTCAAGGTGCATGTGAATATTTATAGGTCAAGCAATTACTGTGCCAAGACTTTACAGCCGGTGTAAATCTGCATCCATATTGAATGTCACCAGTGGCTGTTTCCTCCGTCGGTAAATAATAACCATGTGATTTCTTTTAGATTTTGTTTATTTCTGATTTTTGTGACGATCAACCAAAATAAAATGATTAAAATTGGGTGTTTTCATTCATTAATAGTTCATTTATATACAGTGGGAGAATTTGATCATTCTTCAGAAAACTTTTGTTCTATTTATTTCGGCTTTTCCTCTTGTCTCCAGTCTTTATGATAAGTTATGCTAAACAGCTGCCGTTAGCTTCACTTACACAAGAAACTGGTCTCAGTCTCCTCATCTGACCAAACAAGCAAGCAACATTCTATTTCTCAACACAAGCCGAGGCCGTTCTAAACCTGTCTGTTTGGAATGGGCTGTTTGTTTGGCCTGCGGTGAAGCTGGTGGCAGTATTTTTTTCTGAAACTGTAAAAGTGACACGCAGAGACTGAGCAACGGCAAGTGAAGACCTGCTGCTGGACAGAACGCCGGACTGGAGAATCAGTTGACAATCGTCATGAATGCCCTGTTGTCGTAATCGAAAACGTCCCAGCCGCCTTCCTTGGTCCGATACCAATACAAACGTGTGACGCCGATGAGATAAACGCTTCCCGAGAGGCTCAGAAACCAGAACAAAACCTCCAGTGCTTGTAGAGCAACTCACCTGGTCCATGAGCTGCAGGTCTGGGAAGAAGGGGATGTTCTTGGCCCACTCTACGGCACTGAACAGCAGCCTGGCCGCCAGCTCACAGATGTTCTCGATGCCCATCAGGTTGTTTCCCTGCATGCACTGGGCCCCGTAGCGAGACGTGGGGTAGGGCTCGGCGCGCAGCAGCAGAGAAATGAAACCGGAGAGGTAGGGTTGGCCGTTGTACGGGTCGGTGCCGTTGGTCAGGTACTGTCCCGGGCTGCTCTGGGAGTTCGATGTGCGTCCTCGTTGTACAGCTGAAAAAAGAAAACACAAATAAAGTTCAGTGTTCAGACTGTAAATCTGGATTTTTGATTCAACATCATGTGGCACTTTCCTTCCTGAACACGTGACTTCATTTTTAGTCCAGCCGACACCTTTCAACAGACAGTAAATACCTGTCATCAGGTTTTTATTACACCTTTATTATTCAGGAGGCCGGCTACAACACTATTAGATACACCTACGCCTGGATTACATCCAAATGGCTTCTGCACGGCCTGCATGGAAATTGCAGTGGTGGGAGCAGAGGGGGAAGAGGAGACCAGAAAGAAAGAAAGAAAGAAAGAAAGAAAGAGGTAAATTGGGTGTGTCAAATGTGACGGGTGGGGGGTGGGGGGTGCAGAAGGGGGTCGAAGGGGCAAACAGTACTCCTAAATATGTCAGCACTCGTCTTTTCAGCGGAAAGTGTCCGAGGCCGCTCCGCACTGCTGTTGTGCATCAATGAGTAATGACGAGCAGCAGCTGGTGAAGATATAACACCGCTTCACACCTACATATGTTTTGCACCCCCGCACACACACACACACCACACATAAATGCATACAGTAACATTGACCCCCCCCCCC